AAGTGGGGAGTCCCCGCTAGCATTTAAACTGCATTTGCCGTGATATATCCTGCCCCCCCCCCTCCACCGTGTCGACTTTGCGTCTCCAATGTCTGTTCAGCGGAGGGTTTGATCTCTCTCTCGCTCTCTGCTATACTACTGATATTCGTGGAGTTTAGGTGTTACCCAACATTAGACTATATATATGTAAAGTTTTAAAAATGCGTGAGTGGATTATGCATACTACTCACGCATCCAATCATGCACATCTGAGCAAATTGTCTCTCCTACTACAACTACTACTACTACTCATCTCTCTATCTCTGTCCCTGTCCCTGTCACTCGCACTTTCCTCTGCCTCTGTTTTCTCCTGGTCGACACGTGCCGTTGGCGTGGCGTTGTATTTTGGACTCGTCCCGTTTCCCTGTTGGCATGAAAAAGGCAAGTATATGCGCGCGTATTTGCGTGTCAGAAGTGTCCAGACTGTTGTCGTCTGCAGGTCCCTGTCTCTCTATCTGCTCGCATCAACTTCTAGGACGCTCTCAGTCCTTCTTCGATCTACTGCCCTCTCTCCCCCCCTCGCCTCGTTGAAATCAAGTGCTTCTGACCGAACATTAGAGTCGCCCACGTATACACACACAAGCATACAATTATCGGGGAACCAACCATTAGAACCAGCCAGCTTTCCCTTACTTATTGGCACTCAGTCACGCGCGCTGAAGGGGCAATCAGCCTCCGCCTCCTTCTCCACCTCCTTCTCTCTTTGTCCTTTGTCGTTTGACACTCTTGTATTAAAGTCGGTTTGATTGTAACCACTTTGCGGTATTTGTTTTTTATGATTTGATTTGTTGCAGGGACACGCATACAGGTGCCACGCCTTAGTTCGTTGACCAGACTGTTAATACTAGATGGAAGCCGGTAATGGTGGAGAGTATAGCCTGACCGTTCGACCTTTGAGTTCGACGATATAAACAGGGTGGTGCAGGGACGGTGATATGCGCGTGAATTAGTTTTAGGTGATAGTGGACTTGCACAGCATCTAACGCGCTCTGCCTCTTCCCTCACCTGATGTCAAGACCCAGTCAAGGAGACCGTAGGTGAGATCGGATGCAGATGGCTAGCGCGGCTGAGGGCGCTCCTATGCGTGCCACCACGTCTCCCTGCCCTCTATGTTCAGCATTTTTTATCTGCGCGCAAACCGATTAACGCCTGCTATACCCCGATATGGTCCCGTGTTAATCCAGCGCATCTACACCGTAGCTCGTTTAGTGTGC